AATGAGTGCAATTTGTATTACAAAATTGTGAAATACTGCATTATGTCCGAGGTCTGTATGATAAAAACAGTGCCTCATAGTACTTGTTCACCTCAGATGTGATATACAAATGGTATGAAAGGTTGGTTTACAATTAGCACTCAGATTTATTGACAAGATTTTGTCACAAAATCTTGTCAATAAATCTGAGTGCTAAAGCTAAAATTAAAGCTAAATTACTTAGCCTTTCCCTAAAAAGTCACATGAATGTGCTCTAAAGTTAAATGAATTGTGGAATACAAGTTTATTGTTTGATTTTAATTATAAATTTATTAATGGGAGCTTCGCTTTTAGCCCTGGCTAAATCTATATATTAACATTGTTTGGAGTCTCTTTCAGCTTAAAACATTTCTTAATGGTCCTTAATGAACCTTTCAAATAACCCTATTGTTATCATTCATTCAACTTATTTCTAAGTTTCTGACTTTTTACGCCCGAATTATTCTTCGTGACCTGCTAAAGCTGACCAAGCAATTTTGCAAAGGTAAAAGGCAGGAGAGAATAATGGAACAGAGAGGGAGCGCCCAGCCTAGCCCTTGGGCCGGATATGTGAATTTCACCAAAGTTATTTTTAGACCAATTAAACGCTTGGAATTATTCGGAAAGTTTTCGGAGAGGTCAGCAAACTATTATTCCGTGTTGCATCGATAGAATTCAACAGTCGCCATTACAGTATTCTGCATTGTTTGCTTGAGGCAGTCGTGCTTGAACTTGATGATGTTTTAAACAATCGACTGCAGTGTGTGGACGTCCCAGGAATTAGACTTCCATGTGGATACAACCTCTAAAAATAACTTATGTGAAATTCACATATCCCGACCAACACCCTAAGACTACCCCTTTTTTCCATTATTTTCTCGTAGTAAAGGTTAACCCATCAATGAGACACCTAGAGCTAGTCCCTGCCTTTTTCACTCTTGTTTTAGTTGATCATCTATATTAAAAAAGGGAATCTCTCTATAAAAGAGACATTGTGCTAGTCCAAGCGGTTTAATCAGTTGACTGTGTGTACTAAAAAGACAAAGTTAACCATGCGTATGGTTCGCGTATTAATTGAGCAGATTATGGCGCTGTCACTACTAAGGTTCCCAGGCTTTTTTCTTTTAGGCAAACAATCCATCTGCTTAATTGCATTTGGAAAGACCTTCCAACTCATTTTAATTTACAACTCAAGTGTTTCTTTATTTCCGAAGAAAATTATACGTTATCTACTGTCAGAACAACAAATGAAATAAAATTTCATTATGTTGATGACGCATCATACTACATGTAAGTATAAATGAGGTCTTCCTTCTTTGCTTTTTTTCTTTTCGTATTTCTTTTGATCATTTACCTTGCTACCTTGAACCTACATTGTTTAGGGAGCTAACAAGAGAACCAACTGGTTCATTTAGCTTCCTAGCTTACACATTATTTTTAATACAAAAAATGCACATCGATAAGAGTATAATTAACAATTATTCCACGAGGGCGCGTTGGATATGAGATGATAGATAGCCAACGAGGCGCATAGCGCCGAGTTGGCTATAATCATTTCATATCCAACAAGCCCGAGTGGAATAATTGTTTTATTAAAAACGCCCACAAAATCTCGTTGAATTGCCCCGACTAGAACAAACCGGAAAAGACAAGGGACTTCCGCTATTGACATGTCACACGTCTATCAAAACTGTCAACGCGCGAACGGACTCGCCTAGACTGCATGAATGAAAAATCAAAACATTGTGCGATGAACATTAGTTTTTTAAAAACTCATCGTGATTCTAGGATTTTACACAGCAGAACAGCTTAAAAAACCTGGCAGATAATGTGAAGGAAAGGAATTTTTAAGTGACAGCCGTCGAAATTACTATGAATTTGGATTTTCGGTGCAGTTATAAAAGTAAGAACAACGGAGAAAAACTACCGGTATTACCTCGGTCGCTTTTTATGAAGTTGTTTGAAGCCACAAGCTGGTTTTGCTGAACGAGAAAAGAAGCTATACTGCCGCCTCGATTGCTCTAGTGAATGGCTGCATAGCCTGTATTTGTAGCTGGTTACTTGTGATTTATATTCTTGATGTCGGATAAACAAGTTGCAGTTATCAATCGGCGAGTGACTTGATCGGCGAATGGCTTCGCGATCATGAAGAAACAACACTTGTCTTCTTTCGTAGCTGGTCAAGGTACTTTAGTTCCATGTGTTTTTCGACAAACTTTCAGACAAGCTCTTTTGGCTTTTTTGTTTGTTTTTGTCTTTTTTCTTGCGCTGAAATTGCATTTCTAGTATTCTAAGAAATGAATTAAAACGATTTGCTTCGGGCGCCGTTCTATCCTTCGCGAAAAAAAATCTCAGCTAGCTTCCAATTTTAAACTGACGCGTACACCGACCATATATGGAGAACATGGTATATTAGCTCATATACCATAACGGCTAAGCCAATCAAAATGCTAGAGTTACATTATCCAATGATTCAGTTTTTAATAATAAAGATTATTCTATTATTCTATTTAAGTTTCAGTTGTTGAAGCGGCCTTCAAGCTTCCTCTCACATCTTTGTCTTCTTTGATCACTCTGATTTCTCTTTCTTCTTCTGTCGCATTCATTTCTACACTTCCATGGACTCCAGCGTTACCTGAAACAAGAAAATGCATATAAGGGCTGGAAGCGGGAATGGGGCTTACGTGACGAACAGTCACCCCATGTAAGGCAATCCAAGAAAGTATTGGATTCTGGATTACACGCCGTAGATTCCGAATGGTTTCCAGTATTTGTCCAGATTCTGTATTATAATTTTACGTAGCATTCCAGCTTCCTTGAGCCGTATTTCGGATTCCAAACCCCAGGATTCCGGATTCCACAAGCAAAAATTTCGCGGATTTCGGGTTCCACAATTAGGCCGGCAAAAACTTCCCGGATTCCCTTAAATTAGTGGAGAGCAGATTATTACCATTCTACGTACCGGTATTGTTTACCTGAGACAAGAAAAATTGTGATCTTGAACCGAAGTTGAAAGTAATGAATGAATCCTTTAAACCAGACCTTTCTCTTACCTTCTTTTTTTCTGGGAAAATTCCTGGTCTTCAACAAATCCCAAACGCAGCCTGCCACAAACATCAACACAAGAAGACCAGTAGAAACATACATGATGATGCTAGTTACGTCTCGGTGGCCTAAGCCTTTTCTTGAACCGTATTCGGTCATATCAATTTTGGAGTTCTCCTCGCATTCTGGAACTTCGTCAAAGAATTCATCTCCACCGAGATGTTCCTTCACCTTATTCTTAACACATAAAATCGCCGAGGGAGAAGCTCCTTTGGCGGATATTCCAACGTATTGCTTTCTCAATGCCCGTACAAACTGGAACTTTTCGTATGTGTCGTCATTAAACTCTTCACAGCCATGAAGAACTATTTTCTCTATTCCATAAGTTTTATTTTGCAAGTGCTTGATGAAACTTTCTTTGGAATTGTGTTGGATCTCTAAAAAGCATTATACATAAAAGCAGATGTCATTCATGAACTGCAACATTAAGCAACATCAGATAATGACTGGACTACAAAACCTGCTGCTCCATCAGGTCTGCCAAGTGTCCAAGAAAAGGCGCCGTGACCCTTTAGTAATAACGAGTATCACCTACGTAGAGAGTGGTGCATCCCTGAAAATTTTACAGGGTCTGTCAGGGTTTCTGGGTACACGTTATACAGGGGTTTGTAAGTTTGGAATACGGTATCTTCCGGTGGTCACATGAAAAAAGATGTTTTCGGGTCATGATATTAGGCATACTACGTTTCCTTAAGGTCTCAATATATTGCGACAAGCATCGAGGGACATGTGATGGAATTTAAGGTATACTGGCTGGTAAACTAAGTTTAATTAGATATATAGAGGAGATTACAGGGCCTCGCGAGTGAGCGCAGCGAAGGAGTGAAATATTTTTCAACACGAGAATAGAAATTTCGTATCTCCAAGCGGCCATGTAATGTTCTAATTATTATATAAACACTAATGAAATTCCAAATCATTTCACTTAAATGATTTAATTGCTGCGAAAGGCGCGATTTATTATGTACTTATAGCAACGACGATCTTTTCACATATGAAAAGAACATGTTATTTTCACGTGTGAAGATGTCATGTTTTCGCGGCAAAGCTCACCTGGTATTTCATTGGTGTTTATATAATAAAATGAAATATTACTACCGCCTGATCATCACAAATCATATCCAGATTACAGTACCTCTTATCTTTGCTCCTCTGAGCTCGTCTTCAAAGAAACGCTTGCTATAAAAAGGGACGCCAACCTAATATTGAGATACAAGTATGATTGTTTATTTAGGGTATATTTTTCAAGCAATAGAGTTACTTTATCAGAAAATTTGAACTTTCTCGTTTTAGTATATATTGGGCGAAAATCCGTTGACACCCCTGAAAAGGGCTCCTTAACATTGGTAAACTAGCCAAGTTTAATACCCCCACCCAAGTCGCCAATTTTTACCTCCTTTTGTATCGGTTGAGGGGTTAAGTGATTCTCCCCCATCCCCCCCATCATCAAACGCCTATAACATTTCTTTGCAAAGCTATTTCTTCGTTCTTTTTGCACAAATCACTCTCAAAATGTGCTATTTTGCTTTTAAGGGTCTTTTTCTTTTTCAGCGGAATCGGTAGATTTTCACTTAAACGTTAAAAGTTAAAAAACCGTGGATGGATCTATTATCCAGTGAAGGAAAACTGTTTGAAAACAAGAGGATATCAATATTTGATTAACTGAAAACCATTAACTGTAAGCCAGTGCTTTACTGAAATTTGGTTGTTATCGATATTCTCTATTTTTGATTAAATGGATCTTTCATCTTCGTTCTGTTCAACGAATAATATGGGAAAATTTTTTTAACTCGCACTAAGAAGCTGTTTATGTGTTTTGGATCCACCTTTCAACCTTAAATCATTTCTCTTGCACACAATAGATGAAAGGGAAGAAAACTTACTTTTTTCCCCAGATAAGTGTGATGAGGCATCAACTCTTTAGACGTCAGTCCAGATGTAACTTCAGCAGTGAATATTGATAGAATTATCATGCCAACAATAATCCAGACGGCGGAGTAAATACGAGCCGGTAGAGACTTGGGAGTCTTATCTCCATATCTGGAGGAAAGAGGAAAGAAGCAAACGATAGTAACTCTTAGGAGCGAGGTATTGAATAATTGAATTTTAAGTAAAGAGAATTTCACAACAGCTTCGCTTCGCTTCAATGCGTTGCTTATTTTGTTCTATTGTTTGTTTGTTGTCTTTTTTCTGAGAGAAAAATACTTCCTTTGCGCTTTAACGATCTCCTCTTAGATCGGTCATCTTCTTTATACAGGAGGCTCCCGGCACATTATGTGGTTTCACGGAGGTTCTTAGCTAAGATTAAACAATATCAAAATAAATAACAGTCAGTTACTACCAAAAATTTAACTATTGCGAAAGGCTAAAAAGGATAAACGTTAACTTAAGAAAGACTAATTAAAAGTTATGAACATGCAAGTCTCTTGAAGTTATTCTGAAAGTCTTAAGGTGACACTCGGGTATTTCCCCTTTTATTCTACTACATGAGAAATTTCTGCAATTTGATTGGCTTAGAGTAGTGGTACTTCAGCTTAATTTGAAATACCCACATGTGAAAATTACAAACATTTTGTTTGGTGGTAGTATAAACAAATAATAGCATGATTTGTACGTGATATTTCGCAAAAATACCACTCGTGATATTTCAAATTACGTATAACAATTTCGAAATATCACTAGTGGTATTTATGTCAAATATCACTACAAATCATTCTATTACCTATACTAAAAGCATTTTGTACAGCAGAGCATCGGTGAGCAAAACGTCGTCCAACCAGGGGAATCCACTGGAGGGAATTGAGCGTTTCAGACGATTAGATCTTTTTACCTAGAATTCTTTTTGCAACCCTGTTCTGAAACGCTTGTAAACGATCCATTTCAGATTTCAAACCAGGCTGATCTCCCCATACAATGTCACCATAGTCTAAATGGGGTGAAATTGAGCCGTTAAAATACGCAATGCGAATCTTGTCATCTAGAATATGAGATTCGGTTAAACACAGACATAATATAACACAGCTTCTTCAACAAATTACTGATATGCAGCTTCCATCTCCATTTTGCGTTCATTGTTACTCCAAGATATTTACATTATTGCACACGTTCAACTTGTGTGCCATTCATTTGTAAGTAGACATCATCAAATGACGAAAAAACATGGTCTTTTTTAATACTTCCGGCAAGCATGACTTTAGTCTTCTTCACATTTATGGCCAATTTGTTTTCAGAATAGCAATCGCCTACCAAATTAA